GTTCATGAATTTAACTCAGAAGACATGAAGATTATTCTGGAATTTTTTTTAAATACTAAGATTAACTTTTGAATTAGCATAAGAGTAGGAAGTAAATTTGGGAATTTCAATTTGAATCAAAAGCCAAATCCAAGAAGAGAACTGAGCTGAGAAGGAAGAGCATTGATGGGCTCCCTTTTTAATTGTCTTTCTTGTTGCTTTGTCTTGTTGAGGTGACTCTTATTCAGGAGCCCAGACTGACCCGAAACTCACAGCAATCCTCCTGGCTCAACCTCTTTAGTGATGGGATTTCCAGTATGAGCCCCTACACTCTTCTGGTGGGCCCACTTCATGTGTATTCTCAGGCCATCAGCAGAGAGCACATCCTTACATTTTCTTTTGAGATCAGTTTCATTTCAGTGATTGTTTTTTCTGTTCCACCACATAATCTTTGCATCCCTATCTAATTACCTGGTGTACACTTAGGAGATTATGAGAGTAACCAAGAACTATTAGATTTTATATCTTTAACTGTTCCTATCCATAGATCTCATTTTTTTTCCTCTGAGTTTTATCAAGCAGCATGGTTTTTTTTCCTCAAGAAAAGGAAAACATGGTAATTTACATTTCATAAAAGTATCAGAAGAATTTGCATCACTTAGAATGTTTCAAAATTAAATCTCCAAGCTTGTAAAATTTAGATAGTGTATACTAGAAAAAGTATTTCACTGTTTTGTTTTTTAAACCGACCTATTCTTATGCCCGGGATGGCTTCTTTTCTAGAGTCTGAAGTCCAGGGGACAAAATCATACATCTGCTGTGACTCTCTCAAGTGCAGAGCACTTCTGCGCACCGACCGTCTCTTGTTTCAAACCTCTAAAGTCCCAGACGGGATCGTGTATGCTTCTCCGTTCTATACACTTGAAATTAGGGGTGAGGATGCTTTGGGTGACTTGTCTTCTCTCACTACAGTGATCAGAGACAGATCTAGGGGTAGAGTTATGGCTGACTTCAGCTCTGCTTTCTAAAACTGACACAGTGGAAACGGTAAAATGTGTTTGAAAGTGCTGTCTCTGTTTACATCAAAGTCTTAAACATTGTGGCCGACGCCCCAAAGCCACCTTTCCTGTGCCTCATAAGCCACTCCCCTTAAGGGTTGCACAGGTGAGATGGGGACAATACAAAGCATGGGATGTGTGAAGTCCAGTTCTCCAGCTTACCCAACATCCCCCAGCATCCCTAGCGTAAGCCTGAACTTTTTCCTACCCACCGCCAACACCAGTCAGGGGTTCTGAGCCAACTGTCAGAAGCCATGAAAAGACAGCCTGGGGCTCAGAGGTAGTTCTGGTAGGAGCTTCCATGCCCCAGCACTGTGTCAGCCTGAACGCTCTCTCCTGGGCCTTCCTAGACCCCGGGGAGCCATGGCCTGCACAGAGCACACATGGAAGACACAATGTAGCCGTTCCGTATCACTAACTCATAATCCTGTATGTCATGCTCCCATTCCACATGTGAGTCTTCAAACATTAAAATGACCAGTGACTGAATTCTGTGGCCTCTGAGTTTGAGAAGTAGGAAGAGCAGGGACACATGATAGAATTAAAACCGGAAATGTTAGAATGATTGCATAAATAAGTTTAAAAAATGCTGTCTATTGACATTATTCTTCCAAAATGCACTTCTGCAAAGGCAGGGAAAACTGTCTAGGCAATTGGTCTGGTATTTTCTTTGTTCTATCAGGTTTTGATTATATTTTGCTACTTTTCAGCTCTGAGCTCCCAGGGTTAAGGTCAAGTTCCCAGAATTGTTTGCTACCAACATAATTGGTAAGGGCACTTGACGTTGGCATTGGTGACATTTAAGACCAAGTCAAAAAATTTCCCAGCATGTTTCTTCTTATAATAGCATCGTTCCAGTTCCTGGGAAAGCTATCAGTGTTCATGAGTGGAGTTTAGCATCCTTTATGGTGCTTAGAACTTACTGTCAAGTAGGCCAAGATGTCAAAAGGAAATTTCTATCAGAGAAAAGTACATTTCATTTGAGTCAGAAGATATATAAAGCATCTAGTGAGATTTTTGGTGCATATTCCCAGAATTGGTTTTCATGTAAATCTTTTCCTTCATATTGGCCGTGACAAGATAGATATTTATATGTATCTAATGATCCTATTTTTCCCCTGAGCAAAGCCAGCAAAAAATTCTTTTAATTTTTGACTCCTTGGCCTCTCTTCTGGTCCACAGTCCTTTTTGTTTGTCTAGATAATAACTATGTCCACCCACAAGGTCTTCAAACCCGACCACAGTGGATTAAAAAAAAGAGTGTAAACAAAGCTCTTTTGAGAAAGATTTTCTCATGCTCGATCTACAGCTTAAATTGGGAGTTTATTTTCCATAACTCTTCTCATGGGAAAACACTGTGAGCTGCTAATACTACTTATGGTATTCTAATATTTGGTAATGGTATTGTTATGTTTTTGCTGACCGTTTGCATTTTTTAGTGATTGAGAATCTCCTATATGTATACAATATATTTGATCCATTTCATCCCCTCCTGTTCTTCTTCTATCCGTCTACCACTGTTTCCTCCCAATTTCATATGTTCTTTTTCTCTTTCCCCTGGGTTCACTTAATGCTTTCAGTATGTGTAGGGGTCTAGGGCTGTCTACCGCAGCATGGGCAGCCTCTTGGGGGGGCCACATCCCTAAAGAAAACAGAATCTCCCTCCCCCAACAACCATCAGTTGCCAACACCCACTCGGTTAGAGACGAGACTTTTTCACACCTCCCTACTCCATGCTTGGGTTTTGTGTGGCTCGATCTTGTGTAGGCGCTGTGCACACTGCCACAGCTGTTGTGTGTCCGTAGGTACAGCTGACCTGTTGATTCTGGAAATGCTGTTCCACCCCAGCCGTCTAGTGCATCTTGCTCTCACAGACTTTCTGCCCCTTCTTGCGTAAAGATCCCCGAACCTTGGGAGAAGAGGGTATGGCAGAGACATCTCATTTAGAGCTGAGCACACTGTGCTTTCTTCCTGTCTTCACACTGACCGGTTGTGGGGCTCTGTGTTTAACTAATGACAGTATTTGTAACAATGCCATCACACTGAAAGTATGATTTCCACAAAGATACACTTCATATTAAGATACTGACTCCTCGCCTAGCACTAGATTATTAATTTGTGAATGGTACTAATAAATAAGTTTCAAGAAATATTTGCACACATGTCCCAAAGTCACCACCACAGTTCAGCAGCAATCCTATTTGTCACTCACTGGGTAGGATTTTTTTTTTCTTTTTAGACTCAGAGAAGAGAAATGATTAAAGTCACCACTCTGAGTCCTAGAGTCATGCTTAATTTCAGTCAAACATGTAATGTAGAATGAAAATAATGTTTCCTTGTTTTTTAGACTTTGGAGATCTTAGCAACATAATCTGAGCCTGCAGCAGGAAGCATTGACAGCAGGAACTCAGAGCACACCGTACTGAAATATATTCCTGGCAAATCTAAGCTTGAGATTTAGTGGGGTGCTGGCATTTGGAAAATCAGATGCAGTGAACCTAATTATGCAAAACAGTTATTTCCAATCTATCATTCACCACAACTCTGTCTAAATCTGAAATTATTTAATTATCAACAAAGAGAAAGACCTCACCTGCCCTGATCCTTCCCTTCCTACGAAACCTGGTGCTTTTATTTACTTATTTTTGAAATAAAAATATAATGGCATCATATCCCCCTTTCCCTTCTCCCCTCCAGTCCTTCCAATGCAGCTTCCTTACCCCCTCTTAAAGAGCTCCGCACTCAGGCTATTGAAAGGTAATTTGCAATTAATTCCCAAGATGGCTGGTGAGTGTCAGTTTGGAGGCTGGGAGTGAACAGTCATTCCTCTAACAGACTGCGGTCACCTTTGGTTCTAATGTGCATTCTCTGTTCACCAGAGATACATAGCGCTCCTCCTTGTTGCCCAAGTCCATGTCATGACACCCTTGCCCTGACATGTTTCCTCCTGGCATTAGCTCTAAACCAGTTTCTCGTTTCCTGTTATTATTCAGTGCAACCAATATAAACATATCTCCTCATGAGCCAGGCAATGGTGGCACACGCCTTTCCTTAATTTCAGCAGAGGCAGGTGGATCTCTGCGAATTTGAGGCCAGCCTGGTCTACAGAGCAAGTTCCAGGACAACTAGCACTGTCTCAAAAAAGAAACCTGTCTGGAAAAAGTAAATAATGAAAAAAGGAACTTCTTTATGGTTCCCTGCTTTGTAGCATTGCTCCACAGTAACACCTTTCCCAGGCTAGGTCAGGAATGTGTGTATAAGAATTCACAAATACTAGAAAGCCAAAGCACTTATAACCATCAAGTGTAAATAAGCCAATTCGTGGTAAGCATTTAGACATTGTCCAGGGGGAGGCAGACGAAATGCAAATCCTTCTTATTGGTTAGCCAAAGGAATAGGAGATGGGATGCAGAAACCTTGTCCTTAAATATCTGCTTCTCTCAGGGAGAAGGGTCACTGTCCTTCCACTTTGGCTCATCCATTGTCCAGGGCAAAACCTGCTGATGGCAACAATTTCCAGTTCAGTTTTCAGCAATACACATCCAGATGTCTTCGCTCCTGGAACGTATTCATTTTCTCACCATTTAGAATAATTTCTGTAGTACTAAATCAAAATGATGCATGGAGTTTTCAGATGGTCTGTCTGTCTGATTCCTTGGGTGAGGAGGCAGGCTACATTCATCAGGCTATGAGGAAAAAAATTGTTTCAGTGGTCCTGTTCGGTGTGGATTTATTTGAGAAACCTCAACATCCATCCAGTAACATCAGCTTTGGGAGCAGAGCAAGGCAGCTGGATAGGGTGATAAGCTGATTAGCCTGGCTGGTGCACTGATGCCATTTGGTGTTATTCATTTGGTTTTTTTGTAGATTTCAATCATTACGCCCTTCCATTCAAATATTCTTGGATAAAACACTGTTTGGATGTTGGCTGAGTCTTAATGTGCCCGTGTTCATTTATTTCAGCTGGGTCCCGAGCCTCGTACAGCAGCCAGCATGGGCACCTGGGCCCTGAGCTGCGGGCCCTGCAGTCCCCAGAGCACCACATAGACCCCATCTATGAAGACCGTGTCTATCAGAAGCCCCCTATGAGGAGTCTCAGCCAGAGCCAGGGGGACCCTCTGCCGCCAGCACACACTGGCACCTTCCGCACGAGCACAGGTGTGTATTGGGGGACACATTCAGGTCTGCCCACTGGGCACGGGGGATATGGACCTCCTTGGAAGAAAAATAATTCTTTCCAAATGAAAGTAGTGTGTGTGTGTGTGTGTGTGTGTGTGTGTGTGTGTGTGTGTGTGTGTACATACTCCCAGTCAAGCCTTATAACCTGCTTTTATCATCAGTATCTTTGATGATTGAAAGAGAGTAACTCTAGTTTAGCTACCTAGTTATACTATGAATGATGGAAATAGAAAGGGAATTGTAAAGTTACTTTATCAAGGAGAAAAACTAAACAAAACATGATTGATGTTTTCTGTGCCTTAGGTAGTTTATTTAATGAATATAAGTACTCCACAAAAGCAATCAGTACCCTTGTCATCAAATATAGATGCATTATTTTGGTAAGTCAGTTTTAATGATGTAGTCTACCTTTTAGCAAGCTTGGAGATCAAAATATTTGTTAAAAATGTGACATATTTTGAAAGATACACTTAAAATGTGTTTCATACACACTAATAGACTAAACCATTCAGAATTGTTATTTAAATGTTGCAATTTGGTAATTGCTGATAACTCAATTAACTGTGTAGCTCTCCAATATTAAATATATATTTTTAGTTGTATATAGCCATGGGAACCATGGAGAACAAGTGTTTCCTATGACCTGTAGCTGTTCATAAAATAGTCTAAGGTTATGATTGTGTTCCTAATGACGCTGACTCTAATGATAAATACAGAAAACTTAGCTGTTGAGCAGAGCATTCATTGTACAACCTCACCCTCCCAGGTAAGCAGCAAAGATGCCTGGTTGGTTATCTGCCAGGAAAGCTTACCCCTTCCCTGCTGCACATGCTGAGAGCCATGGCTGAGGCGTGGGACAGCTGGGGTTCTGGTCTAGAGCTACGCTGGGATCTCTGGAACCTCAGAGAATTGTGGCTTCTAGTGACCACTAAGTACAGTGCAGTGACTTTGTTAGATTACATGTGATGCTGAATTACATGTTTTGAAGTTAAGGGAAGCTGCTGTCGTCGCTGATTATGGATATTTACATCTCAATGTTCCACTGCATTGAAAGAGGAAAGGCTCAATGTACTCCTTGTGACATCGTGAATGCCACTCAATATTAATAATATATATTTAGACTTAGATAAGAAAGGACACTGATTTATCCTTGTCAGACCGTTCACACTCAGCCTGCTATAGCTGCTGCTGTCTGGAGTTGGGCCACTTGAATATTTATTTATTTTTTTGCCAATTATCAATTAGGATAATTTTATTTCCTTGTGAAAAAAGGGGTGACAACCTCAGTGACATTAGACACCTAATTTGAATGAAAACAAACAACAAAAGAAGTTTATTGAGTCTCTGTTGTATATATGCCCTTAGGATTGTATTTTGTTAGTAAACTTCTGAAGGATTAGTCAAAAATTAGCTACAATAAAAAACTGCCATGCACTTAGTTCACATTCCAAGCCATAGAAAATGTTCACACTTAAATAAAAGAAAGCTATTTCTATCAGCTACTTTTTTATTATTGTGATGGTATACCCAGCTTCCCCCGCCCCCCAAAAAACCCACTTAGAAAATAATTCAGCTTCTATTTGCAGAAGGGACACAGCCCACCATGACAGGGGAGGCAGGCCTGGTGGCAGGAAGCTGGCTGACAGCATTTCCACACACAGGAAGTAGAGAGCAAGAGCAGGAAGTAAGGTACAGCTATAAACTCTCAAAGCCCACACAATTGACACACTGTCTCCAGCAAGGCTGCACATCCTAAAGGTCCCATAACCTCCCAGACACCACCAACTGGGAACCAAGCATGCAAACCCATGAGCCTCATTTGGATCACACTCTGTTCTAGTCTCTTAGGCTTAGAAAGTCTAACCCAGTGATAGGCAGACAGTGGCCCATAGGCCAGTTCCAATTTGCTACTTGTTTCAATGGCAAACAAGAGCTAAGACTCATTATTGGGTGTTTAAATGACTGGAGGAAAGAAATTAAGAGATGAATAATGTTTTCTGATACATGGCAGTGACATGAAATTTAAATTTTAGTGTCCATGAGTTAAAGCTTTGGATCACACCCTCACCCTTACCTTTAAGTGTCCCCTACAGCTGCTTTGGGACTGCAGAGGGAGCAGTATGAGGCTGTGACAGACACCGTACAGTTCATAGAACCTGGCCTTTTGCAGAAAGTTTACAAGCCTATTCCCCGGCACCAATGGAGAAACTTTTTTTTTCCTGAGACAGGGTTTCTCTGTGTAGCTTTGCACCTTTCCTGGAACTCACCCTGCAGCCCAAGCTGGCCTTGAACTCACAGAGATTCACCTGCCTCTGCCTCCCGAGTGCTGGGATTAAAGATGTGCGCCACCACTGCCCAGCGGAGAAACATCTTGAGCAAAGGAATGCTATGCTTTTCTCCTTTTTTTTGGAGGGCAACCAACAGTCTCCTGAAAATGCTTCAGAGAGTCTATTGTAATAACAACCGTAACAGAGACCTGGCAGGATGTGGGAGTCAGAGGTTTGACACCATATGCCAGCTGGCACAGTGGAACTTGACATAGTTTTGAGCAAGTGTGATGACTCACACAGTGCTGTGATCATTGCTAAAGGCACATAGGAAGGAGATAGAGGAAGTGAAGCTGTTTGTTTGGTTTTTTTTTTTTTTTTTGGAGCTCTTTTTGGGGGGCCCGCCACCCAGCTCCCAAATAAATCATACATGGAGGCTTATTCTTAATTATGAATGCCCGGCCTTAGCTTGGCTTAGTTTCTAGTCAGCTTTTCCTTCACTTTAAATTATCCTGACTACCTTTTGCCTCTGGACTTTTCCTGTTCTCTTACTTCTGTAAATCTTACTCTTACTCCGTGGCTTGCTGTGTAGCTGGGTGGCTGGCCCCTGGTGTCCTCTTCTTTCTCTGGCTGCTAGCTCTCCTCCCAGATTTCTCCTTCTATATATTCTCTCTGCCAGCCCCACCTATCCTATCTCCTGCCTTACTATTGGCCTTTCAGTTCTTTATTAGACCACCAGGTGTTTAACTCAGGCATAGTAACAGCTTCACAGAATAAAACAAATGCAACATAAGCAAAAGTAATACACCTTAAAATAATCTACTAGCTCTCCCCCTTTTTGTCTAAATAAAAATGAAAGTTTTTAACTTTAACATAGTAAGACTATATACAATAACAATTATCAAGTAAGGATTACATTCACAATATTCTGTCCATTTGTAGTTACCATATTAAGAGAAAATAATGCATTATCTACCCTATCTTAATGAATCCAAAATTTTACACCTGATTTACTTTCTATCATAACTAAGGAAAACTGCAACTGTAACTATTTAGTTTTCAACTCCATCAAAGACCCAGAAGGATGTAATATCACCAAACTACAGAGACATCTGGCTGCCTAGACAGTCACCCAAAGTCCCTCTGCAGTGTTGGGGATCCATCTCCAGCCTACAGGCCTAGAGTATTTGGCAGACTTTTCTATGCAGCAGGAATTTTGGACTGCCCTGCCTTGCTTTCACAAAGTTCATCAGTCACTTTCTTCTGTGTCCTGCAGAATATCTGACAGACTCTTCTGTGAAGCAGGAATTTTGAAGGACTGTCCTGCCTTGTTTTAGCAAAGTTCAACAGTCTTTTTCCTGTGTGTCCTGCATGTCTCGTCTGCACAGCACATTGTCAGCAGTCAAAGGCATTTCTTCAGTGCCCCAAATCTTCTCTGAAGTAAATTGGTGCTGCCAGGAGCAGATGTGTCTCATTGTCATGAAAAATCCTAAGTTAACAAAACATTTTAAATGTCATATTCTGTAGGTTTTTGAAAAGTTTAAAGACCATCTATCTATCTAGAATATATCTCTATATGATCTGCAAAGTATACCTAATGTATCTATAAATTTGATTATTATAAATAACCACTAACCTAGGTTTCCAGATTATTCTATATAGTTTATAATAATAGCTTTCAAAATCTAGAACTTTACCTTACATTTTTAAATGAACTGCATATCTATAATACCTTAAATGAGAATAGAAACATACATACAATATGTTGTAACAAAAACAACCTTAACTTTTTATCAATATACAAAGTTCTTTAAGAGTAGAAACATATATACAGTATAACAAAAATAACTTTAAATTTATATCAATATACTATATTACCCTAAAGGAAAACGAACATCCATAACCCACCAAATAACCAAAAACCACTCATACTCCCCACCTCTTGGGAATGTGGGCATAGTTTTCTCCATACTTCCTCTTACTGTCTGTGAATGAAGTATCTTTAGGGTCCCAGAGAGGAAATTTTGAGATAATGACCAAGTCCTGGGAAGACCAGCAGTAACCTTGGCTGATAGATATCACCTGTCAACTTTCAGGAGGCCTTGCCTGATCAAACCTGATCCATCCTAACCCTGAAGGAATCCATAACTTCTCATCTCCTGTGGGAACAAAACTCCAAAGCATTTTTGATTTCCATTTGACAAATATATTTTTTGACTTTTCAAAAGTTAAGGCATTTCTAACATATATAGACTGATTTATTTCAACAGTCCCTCTTTCAATCCCATGTCTCTTAGCTGTTGTTTGCTTCCGACTATTCAAAAAATTCAAAATCAACACAACATACAGGATCCAAACTCCCCAAGTATCTCCCATCTCTGCGTGGCTTATTTTTTATTATTGTACTTCTCTCTTTAAAGACTTTATTGTTTTTAAACTATTTCTTTCTATGACTGTCCACACCCTTTTTCTTTCTTTCTTAAGCCTACGCACATTATAAAACACACTGGAACCTGTTTAGAGGTTTTTTTCCATCTGGATCTCTTTTACTGTATATCTTTTAGCCTTTTTTTTTTTTTTTTTACTGCACAAGCAAACTTTTAAACTGATGAGGTACACCTGGATTCTCCATGCACGTGACTCTCGGCTAGCTCAGCCTGCTTCCCAGGTCGCGAAAGCCAAGCATGAAACTCACTGCCGGTTGGAGGTTTG